TAGGTGGTGGTGCCGATGATGATGATGATGATGATAATGGTGATGGTGATGGTGGTCAAAATGATGACTGCAATATACTCGAGATGACCCACGGTAAATGTACGACACCATGCAGTCACACTGGACATTATTATATAGTGGAGTGACAGAAACTTAGCTGTCCCCTGGTTTTTAGGCATGGAACAGGGTATTTGTTTTTCAGATATTTCATTAAGTTCAAAGTCATAATTATAACACCGACGGTGTTGACGGCCGAACGGAAACATAACAAAGCAGCCGAAGTACTACTCACACATACGGTGCGCCAATGTCGAGCCGCCGCGGCCAGTGTGGCTCTTCAAGAGGGCTCCACCTAGGATTGTGCACGCAGACTCACTTTGGAATAAAGTTTATTCTCTCTCTGATAGCGGCGAACCGAGCGTCAGCCTGTCGATAATCTTATCGTCAGCCGGAAAGCGCCATCTTTTATACAGTGGCCACCGAACCTTCCAGAGCTATTCGGTGGTGCTCGCGTAAGCTCTCTATTAAACTTGATTATCCACACATCCTGCGCACAATTTTAACAAAGTGTTGTACAACAATTGAGAAGTTTCTGTAGCAGCTGCGGCGCAGTTGGCGAATAGCGTCGCTAACAGACTTTGTGGGTAAAACTCGATTACATCAAAATAAACACAAGTGGTATATCGGAGTTTATGGACATAAAGCGCCAGTACATAATATTATAGGATAAATTAACGAAGCTAAGCATTGCTGTCCTCACTCATCATTGACGGAGGGATAGAAATAAAGACGAACCGTTCACCTGAAAATGTGGCTATTACATTATCAAAACGGTTTTTATTTCTTTTCGACAACACCATTTTGTAAGTGTTTTGTTTATATTTCTTTAATGTCATTACTTACCGACCATATGAGATTTAGCCTATTTTAGATTTTGTACACAAAAGGCTCTAGTAATTTTTTATTTCATTTCATGCATTCAGAGGTGCTCACAATGTCTGCATGGTGCAACACATTTTCGGCTGCGTCTCTGGCAATGTTTCCAGACATTAATTCTACAAACAAAACGAAACTTTCTGCACATTTCAATCACACCACAATGGTGAATCCACGTGGCAACACGAAAAAAATGGGTGAAAATACTAGAAAATTTTTGATAAGTGTAGAAGAAACGTTCGTAACAGTAGATGGCTTCGCAAGTTTGAAATAAAACTTTCGAAATAATGGAAGTGGAGAAAACGTTAGGCTCTGATGTCACCTTGCGAAACAACAGCCAACGAGGGACACACAATGGGTGTATGAAACAGCGATCTCTCAAAGTCGGCGAAGAAGAGCAAGCGACTCAATTGCACGCTATGGCCATTTATTACATCCCCCTTTGAAAGCGAGTCGAGACGATGAAAGCCATCAGTCGTTATGTTCACATCTTCCCCCGAAATATACAAAGCTTCGAGCTATTGTACTTTGCTTCTACAGCAAAGTTCGGTCAAGGCCGATACGAGAAGCGTGATTGATTGAAAGCTACGAATCTGAAGGCTTGAACATAGTGCGCGCGCTTGTTGCCCCACTCGCAACTTAAAGAAATTAATTGGAAACAAGTTACCGGGTTCCAGGTAGACTGATTTTTTTTCTTTGTCATTGCACACTGCTGTTGCCGCATCATTTATCTGCAACACCGCAGACATTGGAAAACGCACAAAAGCAATATACTTGAAAATAATGAGAAGAGGTGAAAGCGGTCTTAGTTTTAGAAGCTTCCCTTTTTTGGATTATATATATATTTTTTCGAATGAATATAAATGGAAGGGCAGCTCTAGTTTATGATCATAGAAGACTTACAACTAGTGTAAAAGTGAAGGTTAATATATATATATATATATATATATATATATATATATATATATATATATATATATATATATATAAAGGCAAGAAGAAAAATATGTGTTATGAAACACACGCTGGAGTGTCTGATTCCTCTCCGATAAGAACCAACAATAAATCGTTACGTCAGCAGCGTTATTTCATTGCACTTACTGCATCAGCCGTTCACGTGATTCAATTCGTTGAAGAAATAAAGGTGCAGAGAAGGACAGGACAACGAAATGTAACGAGGCTGTGTTTCTACCAAGGAGATTTACTTTCTCCGCACACTGGTGGTCTGGCAACACGGGGAACCGCACAAAAGGAAGAGCGGCCAGGAAACACGAAACCTTTTGTCTTGGGCTCGTCTAACAAATTTTTGCTCGAGACCCGGAGACAAATTGAAGTAGATCTGCAGCGTGGCAACGTAGCTGGAGGAAACAATGGAAAAAAAAGTCGAGAGCATGGAATCAAAGATGGACTGTATACTCCCACAACAAAAATGGCATTATTTCAGGCACCAGGGGTACGAAGTGAGAGCTAGCCGAAGAATAACGACTTCGTAGAAGTGAAAAGAGTGAAAGACAAGTGAGAGCCCAGTGCAAGTAAGAAACCATTGCAGCTACACACACCGAAAGAGAAGCGGATGGAGATCCTTGTGCTGGCGGAAAACAAATTTTACGTATTCCCCGGATCTCTCAACGTAGAGCAAACATAAAAAATAATTGCACCTATTGGCAGCGGGATCAAAACAGTGATGAAAAAATGCACCGCAACGCGGAGCATGTGTACACCTGTACGTGTTTCAGCGTGAGGCCCGCTATTGAGACGACAGAGTAAACAGAAAATGAGAGATCGAAATGCAAGGACAGGATGATGAACGGCGATGCCCGCTCGGACTTCACGTAGGTCGATGCAAAAAGTTTGCATGTTTGGGCACACATACCCCTTGCTACCTGCGGTGGAGTTTGATCTTGCGGGCACGGCTATACTGCCGGCCTTTGAAGATTGCTTTTCTGCACGGGCTGCTAGATACAGAACTTCTCTCATTTTGAAACAATCAACTTGGATATCTCTACGCGTCTAAGGCGTCCTACGCACGTATGGCGTCGCACCACTATCCTTGGGGCTGCAGATTTAGGATCTGGCTGCGACGTTTCAGATTCGATGGGGGGGAAAATAAAAAAAAAAACAGCGGTTGACTCCGCACCTCCAACTCTTACGAAAACCGCTGTATTCAGCTAGGCTCTAAGCCACATTGATGATGACATGTGCAAATGACGAAGACGTAGAATTATGATACGTAATTAGAATGAAAGTCATTCACTTGTCGCGCTCACAGTATGTGCCCATAAAAAGCTCCAAGTGGACAAGACTGATACAGAGTCCAGCCGCTATGACGTGGCTCACAACGGCACTTGGATTTCACCCGTGTTCCCGACAGTTTAAGTTATTTATGATACAGGTCCTCAGCTTCATACTGAGCGTATAGCTTTTGCGTCTTGTCGCTTGAGGTCTGTTCGCGTTGACGTTTGAAATTCATATTACTACTGTTATAATTGCGGGCGTTTTAGGTGCAAAACTACGATATCGTCCTGAGGCACGCCGTTGTGGAGGACTCCAGAAATTTCAACCATCCGGTCTTTTTAGCGCGCCTTCACATCGTTCAGTGCATGGATGCCTTGCATTTTTCGTCCATCTAAAATGCATCTGTGGCGTCCGAGATCAAATTCGTGACTTTCGGGTCAGCAGGTGAGCACCGTGGCCCCTGTACCAAAAGGGTAAACGATGATTGACAATAAATGTGAGCGGCTAGTTACTCAGGAAAGAAAATGTTTGATGTGCGAGAAATCATGCTTATGGTAAAGCAAATATGGGTTACTTCGCACAACGCGATATCCTCATGTTTTATTGAGCATGCGTGTGTTTCCGGAACATGTGCAGCGCATACTTATCTGGTATTTCCCTATAATAATTTGACCTCAGCGTGCCGAGAGACTAACCAAGACATCTCCTGACAGTCAAGGTATTTAAAGCTATGACACTGATTCAACACGTTTCCGCCAAGAAAGCCTGTGTTTCTGTGTGATTTCATCGCAATAAATTGCCTAGCGCATACTTTTCGCTCTTTCTGGCCGATGGCACAAGCCACAGCCTCTTGCCTCGGCAAATAACGCTCCCTTAAGGACTATCCTGCTCGGCGGAAAAATCTGAGCTACTGCTATATTGACCTACACTTAGAGGTCTGCCACCCAAAAACATCCCCAAGCGTAGGCATACGGCGATATAAAACTCACTACAAGCTATGCTCACGCCTTACTAACCGTGGATAGAATCCTAGTGCTAGGTCTGATCATAGAAAGTGAGAGTACCAATGGAGAGAAAGTTCGCAACAATGAGGCCAGCGTGTCTAACACGATGCACCTCATTAGGCGCATTACCAATAAACACAAAGGCATGAAAGAGGCTAGCATCATCCGTTTGATCCGATCATTCGTTCTAGGTCACATCACCTATACAGCGTCGTACCACCGATGGTTCGCCGCGGAAAAGTCAAAACTCAACAGCCTAATTAGGAGATTTTACAAACAAGCGCTAGGTTTGACTCAAAACACCAGCACTGAATTCCTCCTTCAACTTGGTTTACACTATGCCCTTGAGGAACTTATTAAGGTCCAACAAATCTCCCAATTTGAGCGATTAGCCAAGACTATAGTATAAGCCAGACCGCCAGATTCTATGTAATCTCGCTATTTCTTACCACACCCAACACGGAGACAAACACGACATACCTCGTACTATTCATGCCAAGCTCACAGTATATACCACCCATACCAAGAAACATGCACCCTGAACACAACAAGGGCAGGCGAGTCAGTATACCCAGAGCCATGTCCAAGATATTTGGCCGCAACCATGAGGTGGTCTTTGTCGATGCAGCACGCTACCAGGAACGTCACCGCTTCGTGGCTGCTGTCGTAGACCACACACAACAATGCAAAAGCAGCGCGTCAATCATCACACCGAACATAGAAACAGCAGAGGAAGTGGCTATCGCGATGAACATAGCCCACACTAACGCCTTATGTGCAATCAGTGACTCGCAGACAGCAGTTCGAAACTACGCCAACGACAGAATGTCCCTCGAGGCATTGCGGATTCTTAGCACAGGCAAAATACACGAGGCGGCCGAATACGGGCTCATCCTTTGGTTCTCTGCCCACACATCACTAGGCAACCCGGAGGACAGTCCGATTGAAGTGGCGCACAATGTGGCTCGAGGTCTTACGTGCCGAGTCGCCTTAGACGAAGCGGTCACGCAAATGGACTTTTCTGCGCCGGTGTGGAAATGGGATGATGATGATCAAAACTGTATTACTCCCAAAAGAGGGGACCAGCTGAGAGGTTGGTTACGCTGCTTAGAGGAGGTCAGCGGGGATCCCTTGGGACACCGCGGCCTGCAATGCGCGTGAGATTACCCGGCGTCGCTGTGCCGAGTCAGTGTTATGCAGAAGGGACTCCCATGTATCTTCTGTGTGAGAAGTGTCAGCGTACTGTGGGCACGTCCATGCCATGTGTATGAGGGTGGCCTATTGTGAGCAGTATTTACAGTGTGGTGTCACGATGCGTGGGTATACCTTGCTATAAAAGCCACGATCGGCTCACTAAATTTAATGTCATGACTCAACACTATCGACTGCAAAGGTGGGAGTACCCTCAGCCTCACCCCAAGCTGATTCGGGCCCAGTCTGTTGAGTGGCGGCAGCTACAAACACGCACATACACAAACCCCGTCATCATGCACCACATATATCCCGACGTCTATAGTTCTAATTTATGCCAGTACTGTACCACTAGAGCCACGCTTGACCACATCCTATGGGAATGTCCAGAATTTGTCAGAAATTCTGGGGTCGCGGCCTCCAATGAAGACCTTCGGGCGCGTTGGCGGATTGCGCTGCTCAGTTTGGGCCTGCACAAGCAAATTTCGGCGATCCAGCAGGCCAAGGAAGCTGCCGGGAAACACGGTCTCTCTGTTAGCTCCTAGGTGGGAGCCCAGCCAAGCCCAGCAATCTGCCGGAAGTCATTAAAGTCTACCCCTCTGTCTCTTCAGATTTAAGACAACTTCGAAAACAAGGGGTGGGTGCTGGAGCTGGCGTTTCGCCGCCCGCGCACCTGGCGACGCGCGCTCTAGTTTTATAAACGACCACTAGGGGGCTGCACATGAATACAGCACTCGCGTTTGGCGCGTTTCCTTTCTCTTTGCTGGGAGCGCACTCAGGAGACACTCTTCGTTACCGCTCCGTAGAATGTTACTTATACCACTCCGCAGCATGAGCAACCCAGAAGCCAAGGCAGCAGCGCAGCGGGCTCGCTACGCAGCAGCAGCTCGGGCTCACCACCAAGACCTTGCGGTGAGAGCCTGCGAGACTGAAGCGAAAAAAGCTCGCCGTCAAACAAACCCGGAGCTGCGGGCCAGTGAAAGAGGAGCTTAAGCGTCGTGCCGTCAAGCAAGCCCGTCACGTTTTTTCTGTATACGATGGTAGAGAAATGGAGCATACGCGGGTTGATTGATTGATTTGTGGGGTTTAACGTCCCAAAACCACGATATGATTATGAGAGACGCCGTAGTGGAGGGCTCTGGAAATTTTGACCTGGAAATCTGAGCACACGGGCCTACAACATTTCCGCCTCCATCGGAAATGCAGCCGCCGCAGCCGGGATTCGAACCCGCGCCCTGCGGGTCAGCAGCCGAATACCTTACCCCCTAGACCACCGCGGCGGGGCAGCATACGCGGGTTACCCGATCAGCTCCGAGAAAGCTCTTCTAGCATCATTTACTTTGTGGATATGGTGGTGATCTTTTTCTTTTTCCCTTGTCGGTGGCTGCATTTCCGATGGGGGCGGAAATGTTGTAGGCCCGTGTGCTCAGGTTTGGCTGCACGTTAAAGAACCCCAGGTGGTCGAAATTTCTGGAGCCCTCCACTACGGCGTCTCTCATAATCATACGCTGGTTTTGGGACGTTAAACCCCACATATCAAATCATATTTCTTTTTTTCTTTCAGTCTGTCGTATGTATTTCTTCTAAAAGCTTTCCGCTCCCAGCGTGTTTTCTCACTGCCTCCAAAATCGGAGGCATTGGAAGCTTTCCGTGCTTCAAATGATTCCGCGGTACCTCCTGCATCGACTCATCTATCACATAGCGATGATGTTCATGTGATGACATCCCCACCTGAAGTCATGTGTGGTGGCATGCTAGGGACATCATCATCAACACTCTAAAAAAAGAGCGAGTAAAAAGGGTGTCTTTTTGTCCCACAACAATAATCGTCATCTATATTGCGTTCCATCCTTGCGCTATCGCCCCGCGCCCGCTACATTCCGGTCACAATCGACATGCCCATTATCAGGGTTACATTGCATTCTCAATAGGAAAGTGGCCAGCACCGAGTTTCAAGAAAGGAAGCGCACGCAAGCCTGATTGATTTGATATGTTGGGGTTAACGTCCCAAAACCACCATATGATTATGAGAGACGCCGTAGTGGAGGGCTCCGGAAATTTTGTCCACCTGGGGTTCTTTAACGTGCACCCAAATCTGAGCACATGGGCCTACGACATTTCCACCTCCATCGGAAATGCAGCCGCCGCAGGCGGGATTCGAACCCGCGACCTGCGGGTCAGCAGCCGAGTACCTTAGCCACTAGACCACCGCGGCGGGACCGCACGCAAGCCTTATGACTATTATTGTTGTGGGACGAAAAGACACCCTTTTTACTCGATATTTTTTAGAGTGAAGTCTTAAATTCCGCTAATCTGCAACGTCATAGGGTGAGGCTGTGACGTGAAGTCGATTTTTTTCATCCTTCTTGTTGACGCTGCTGCTACCACTCCCACCTACATGGACGGTCAGTTTTCGCATTGTATGAAGCATCGAAGGTTTTCGCCCTAATTGCAATGTGCCGAAATAATATCATCCGCATCAGGCACCAAATGTCCAGCCAATATCACCGTACGGTTTATCGCGTCCACTCTTCTCTTGCGTACAGCGAAGGAAACACGTTCCCACGCTATTTAATCGATACGACAACTTCCGCCATTCGTGTACAAATATATGCGGTGTATTTCCGCCCATCTGCCAAGGCAGAGACAAACAAGGCTGCACCTGGTGCTGTGGTCCTTCCCATCATAGAGATTACGAATGATGTTGCTGTTTAGAACCTGGAAACGCAGTGGTTAGAAAGGCAAGATGCGACAAATGCGTGTGCTGTTAAGATGCACGAATGCGTACAACGGCGATTTGACACTGTTAACAACGATGAAGGAAATGTAACAATAGGAATTAGTAATTTGTATGCCCTCAATTTTCCCAGATTTTTTCATAATAAATCTTGCACGTTTCCAGCATTTGCTTTCGAATATACTCCTACCAATGTAAGGGGCGATTTTTTTATGAGACATAAGAAAATATCACAACAGTTATGAGAAAACACAAAAAGCAATCACGATTTGATTGATAGATATGTAGGGTTTAACGTCCCAAAATCACCATGTGATTATGGGAGATGCCGTAGTGGAGGGCTCCGGAAATTTCAACCACTGGGGGTTTTTTAACGTGCACCCACATCTGAGCCTACACACCTGCAGCCTTTTCGCCTGCAAGGAAAAAATACAGCCTCCACCGCCGGGATTTGATCCCGTGACCTGGGGGTCAGCGGCTGAGTAGCTTAGTCATGGGACCATCGCGGCGGGGCAATCATTATTGGAGTTTCTGAGATGATAGGAAGAGAAATGTGTGCAATCATAGGTTTATTTTTTTCACCTATTACTACTACTACCGATGTCTTTAGTGAATCAATGATTTTTTGTAGTCCGTTCGTCTCTTTTTTTTTCATTAGGGATGCCTTCCTGGCTGCATTTTCCGACCATTTTGGTGTGCTTTAGTTTGTATAGCTTTTTTCTTGATGAATTAGTTCTCTTTGCCTGAACAGCTTTGCATACGCAAGTAGCCAAACTAACGCGCCTAGAGATGTTGAATAGAAAGCAAATTTGTTTAGGCTGACTGATAAACTTTTCTTCGCGAAAGTGTAAACGAAAATAAGTTGTAGAAGAACAAATGCAATTAGGGAACGAAGTTGGTTGCCCTTGATGGCGCCGGAGCTTTCGCATAGTTAAGCAGGAGTTTTTCCTTTCTTCGTGAAGAAACCCGCTGTAGGAGAGATGGCGGGTAGGGAATAGTCGAATGGGAGGGGAGGAAAGAGGCACGTGGAAGTGATGAAAGCTGACGGAGAACTTTGCACTATTCTGTCTAGCATCGATCACTTCTACTCAAAGGAAGAAAAGTAAAGGAAAGCGCAGTGCTAAGTAAGCGTTTGAGCACAGATTTTCCAAGGAAATCGAACCATATTAGTATGAGACAGCGAGAAAGTCTCGAGTACATTCTGCTTTATTTAAATCAATATGACTTATCTATGTAATAACTTTTCATTGCCCAATATGGTTCTGGCATTGAAGTGTGATCGGCAGCTTATGTACTCTCCCAACGGAGCGCTTCCTACTTTGCTGAAAGTTATTGCTACACAGTCTCAACAGAACACGTGTGGTGGTGTTCTTAAGCATGGCGACAAGAAGAATCGCTATGAATTTTATTACTTGCTATCAGTCTTTTGCGTCAATCTCCTCCAATGGACTGCATAGGTTGAACGGGTACCTATGAACGTTAGGATGCAATGGTCACTTAGGAGAGACAGCTCACAATGTTCGCGTCACTGAAAGGGAATTTAAGCACTCTGATTGGCTCTCCGCAGTCAAGAGCGTCGAGTGAAACTTCCACTACATAGGGAAGTTTACTTCCAGGTCAAATACTTTGCACAAGTAGATATTTTGTACAAATATACAATGCTTCCTTGGTGGTTTCGAAGATTTGATTAAGAATATACCCTTTGTAATGCAGTTATGTGCTAACGCTCACTTTTCCCGATTTTTTTCTTTTGTTTTGTTTTTATTTTTAGCTGAACTACTCCTTTGGTCATCGGCAAAATTATTTCCGATCGCACCAATCTATCTCCGTTGTCATGAACCAACTTTGTTCTCACATGCCACAGTCTCAATCAATCAATCAATCAATCAATCAATCAATCAATCAATCAATCAATCAATCACAATGCTTCGTTTTGTGTTTCAGCTATGTAATTCAACAATTTCAAGACACCAAAAACCACTAGCTTCGTTCAGCGCTCGTTGAAGCGTTGGTTCAAAAGATAGCAGTTGAGAGGGGTGGAT